CGTTCCCCCCCCACCACCCCACGCTCTGATCATCGCCCCCCCCCCCCCTTAATTGCCCTCCCCCGCCCCCGCCCCCCCCCCCCCCCCCCCCCCCCTCATCTCACTCGTGCTCCTGCCCTTCCTCTCCCCCCTAAGTTTGCCGCTGCTGCTGTTTATGTTCACATTCCTCCGCCTCTTCTTCGCCCCCGCCCGCCTCCCTCCCCCCGCCCGCCGCCGCCCCCCCCCAACCCCCCTCCCCGCCCGCCCGCCCCGCCGCCCCCCACCCACCCACCCCCCCCGCCCCGCCCCACCCCACCCACCCGCCCCACCCCTCCCCCCCTCCCTTCCCCCCACCCACCACAACCACCGCCGCGCCCCCCCCCCCCCCGACGCCGGGGCAGACACCGGCCTAAGCCAGCGCGGGGGGGCGCGATGCGCCAAAGATCCCAGCGCAAACGCAACCTTCTGGTCAGAAGGAACGGGGCAGAGAGGTGGACGAGAAGAAGAACAAAAGCGAAATAACGGTGGAAAAGGGGGAGGTAGATAGCTGGGTAGACGCGCGTCCTTGAGCCAAAACGTGTGCAATTGTGAATGGAGCGCGCTATTCGAATATACCCGCTCCAGAGAGATTCAAATCGATGCGGCGCGATGCTGGCGCATGCTGTTCGGTTGACAACGCAATCGGCCCTTGGGCCAGAGATTTTGCACATTGCGAGCGGAACCCGAGAGATCGCGACAACGAAGTCGCAAACCGAACAAACGCAAACTGGAGGTCTGCGGGCAATGACCACTTGGCATTCCTACATGGCAGCTTCGTTCGCATGCATGCCTTTGAATTGCGCAGGGACGTCTGAAACGTCGGCTAATTCTTACGATGTAAATTCCATTCGGGAGCGCACTTATTTTTGTAGTCATTCCCACACGTAAAATCCTAATGCTCTAAAATGAGGGGGGGGGGGGCGCCGACAAAGCCTTAACCTATCCAGGAAAGCTGGCGCGGAATCGGCATCGGGCGCCAAAAGAGCATTCACCCTTCTCCGCCCAATTCCAGCGCGGCGCGCCCCCTTTTTATATTTACCCGCCCCCTCTGTTACCGGCACTTCCCTGGCTGCATTTCTCGCCGCCAGCGTCAGAACCACCCGCGGACAATTGCTTGGCCTTGTTAGCCGCTGCAGATTCAATGCGTTCCTGCGCGCGCCGCGCGCCCACATCGGCGCGCAGGCCCCCTGCATCGCTCGCCCCCACTTGCCCCGCCCCGGCACTTCCTCGGGAGTCAGTTTCCTGCGCGCGCGGCAACAAGAAAGGACATTTTGTCGGCCGCGCCACTCGCCTCTCGAGAAGGCGCAACGAACCACCTTCTCCCGATGTTCCTCTCACGGGCCCCTAGACGAGCCCCTGCTGCCTTTGGGCCCCGGGGTAAGCGGTCAGCACGGGACGCCCCCGTTCTTGCCCATCCCATGCTTCTCCAAGACCGGCGGCGTCGCGGGGGCTGCCGCGGGCGCCCGGCGATTGAATGAGCACCCTCGCGTCTAAAATCCAAGCGCCCATCTTCCAGCTTGCCCGTGGGCCCCCCCCATTCTGCGGGCCGGCCAGGCCAGGGGCGGCAGGTTCATCCTTTGCCTCGCCCCTGTCGCCGAGAGTTTTCCTTCGACCATCAAGATTACTTTCGTTCCACGATTTGTGCATGGCCTTCTGCGGTTGCCGAAATAGCAGCCCGCGCGTTTTTGGCGCCTGACCCCGATGGGCCGCTACTCACGCCATAGCAAGCGAAGGCCCACTGCATCTTCGGGACCAGCTTCATCTGTTCAAGAGAACGTTCATGGATGGCTGCCGCCACTTCCGGGAGCGCAGGTCACCGCGCAGGGCCGCCCACTCGCTGCAGAAACGGTTGCGACCATCATCTGGTTCATCCGCATTAGTGACGACGTTGAAAAAGTCTCTCGCGGCCAAATTCCTGCCGCGTTCTACGTGGATAAGAAGCCATCGAGATATTGGAGGCATCATCTCTCACCCAGCGAGCGACAAAGATTCGCCGCGCGCCTCGCGCTCCACGCGAGACACCTGTGCGACGAGATGAATGCGATGAGAAGGCAGGTCGTTCCTCCGTCTCAGATTTGCAAACTTAGCCGCGAGACCATCAGCAGTCAACATATCGATGCGCTCGCACTCGCCTGACTTGCGCAACACCTCTGCGCCCACCACAAAAACGAACGCCTGCGCGGCCCGCGGCGAGGCGCTACATGCATCGGACGATGCCGACGATAGCACTTTCGTCGCACGCAGTTTCCACCCACGTGAACTGGTCGCGCCAGGAATCGACATCAGTCGAATCTCCGACGATTTCGGGTATGTTTACAGAGTTCCAGAAAAATATATTAAAGGTCCACGATCATCTCCACTCACCGCCCCCCCCCCCCCTCTGCCGCCATGCCCGCCGGGAAGCCCTTCTCCGCCGCCGCCCCCCCTTCCGGCTGAGCCCTCGAAGGGATCTCGCGGATCGGGCGGGTCTTCCCATGCTCGGCAATGCGTGAAAAGATTCTTCTGACGGTTGAGGATCTTCGTGAAACGTCGGGATCTCGCGGAATCGTTCTTTGCATGTCCTGGGGGGGGCGCTCCGATTCCACTGCGCCGGGCGGTTTCGAAGCGATCTCGCTCGCTTCAGCTCGCTTGGCCTTCCCCCACCCATCGCGTTCATTGCGTCAGTTCGTGAAGATGTCTTTTCAATTCTCGGTGATGTTGGCCATGCGCGTCTGCTCTTGCCACTGTTGCGAACGCCAGCGGTCCGCTGATCGACGCCCACTCCCCGCGCCCGCGTCAGCCTCCGACTTGCTCCGAGCACAGCGTTCACAACGTCTGGTCATCGAGTAGATGCGACTTTCACAGCACGGCGTGGAGGACTGGACACATTCTGATGACTTGCGGACGCTGCAACAAAAAATGACTTAGCACACCCCGAAGCCGCCTGCGGTCTACCCTCGTGGGCATGGCGCTAAAAGCGCCCCGGCACCAAAGGCTGAGCCTCGGTCACCGTTCCGCTCGCCCTACCAGCCTCTGAAGAAAGCGCACCCGTCTGTGTCGCCATGGCTATCGAGACTATCTGCAGTCCGCTCCGCACTACAGGTCGAGTCTGAGGCGCCGCTGGTATCCTTCAATCGCCGAGCATGGCAGCGCTACGGGACGCGTGGACGGAACGCAAAACATGATTTGCTTTTCCGATGCCGCACGAGGTCTTCAGTGACCACGTGCAATTCAGTCCATACCTGTTCTCCCCGATTGATGACATTTTGCTCACGAGCGCTTATCTGGTGTACCATCGATATGGCTTCTTCCCTTGTATTATGAGCCATGGAATTGCACACTCTGCCGACCAATGAGATTATGTCGCTCCCTGTTCAGCGTTCTGCAATGTGTGTTGCGTTCCGGCTTCTTTCGCAACAATTTAGCATGTCTTTCGGTGTTTTGTTTCCCGGACTTTCAGTTATGTTAGTTATTCAAATACGCACCTGTGCCGCCACCCCCTCACGCATCCCCTTCCCATTGACTACAAGATTCCCCGCCTCTGCCTGTTGCCGCCATTCCAAAAGTGCGAGATGGCGGCTGTCATGTTCTTTCATGTCTAAACATTCGCAGCAAAGCCAATTGAGGTTACAATATTGGCAACTGCGTGCGCATCCTGCGCGCAGGATCCCGGAGATCTATGTGATGTCCTTGGGCATCCGTTTTCGGCCGTGGGAAAACACCCCCTCCCGTTGGCCCAACAGCCAGTTTTCACTGGGATGCCTGTGCAGGAGGCTCTACAGGATCTTAGGCTGTTTCTCGATCGGCAACGCTGCTTGGGTGCCAAAGGCGCTCTTGACAGGAATCTCCCACCGCCGCGCGGGGATATGTTCGGAACGGGAAATGGTGTAGAATCGTGACCCCCAACGGGACTCTGTTGTTCATGAATTAAATTGTTGTTGTCTTTTTCGGTAACATGAATTGGGGAATAATTGTCCATGCTGACATATCCAAATGCCTTGTGGCACTTCGCCCCAGGCGCTTCCCCCTGCCACCCTTTTTGCGCGAACTACTTGGGAAACAATAGGATCCATATTGCTTTGATGGATGAAATGTCAAACTTGCTATCTTCGTCGTCCAAAATACCGGACAACTCGCGTGCCATATCGTCTCCATTTTCCGCCGACTGAACCAATACCGATCCACCGTCCACCGCAAGAACAATTGATCGTCGAATAACGAGAAGAGTGGTATTCCAGGAGGGACGTTAATTGGTTCATGAGGTGGGAAAGCAAAGGAAGAGAGAACGACGGCGAAGCGACGACCCCAATCCTTCCTTTCCCAACCGCGCGAGCAGCGCGCAATCCTCGGTTCGGTCCCGGAACCGATCCTTCACAGCTGCGGACAGAGTCGGTGGCGGCGGCGGCAAGCAAAGAGAGCGAGCGGAGAGAGAGCGTTAATAACTCGGGAGGCCCCTCGTTGCCACAGCTGGATCCACCCTGGAACGTTGACCAGAACGCACCCGAGAACAGGTCGCGAAAAGCTCGCCGACACAGGATCGCACAAGGTGCCTGGGCTTGGTGGGTCTTCCTGGGGTTCTCCTCGTCGCCACGGCTGGTTTCCCCTTGAGTTTCTGCCCAGACTGCGCTTCAGGATGGTTTCAGGGTTATGTTGGGCGTTCCCCCTTAGAGGCGGATTTTAGATGGAAAACTATAGATAGTCAAACAATGATAGAAAATGACCGAAAAATCATCACCCGACTGTCTTTTACTATTTTTGAATCTTCCTCCTGTAGAGGGACATGCCCGACTCAACTCCACGGGTTCACCTCCCACGATGCGATTGTTTTGAGCCCTGACGTCCTTCCTCGATTTCGGTCCCTGGAGCCAGCCTCCGGGACCCGAGGCCATCAAAAACTGACCCGCGGCGGCAAACTTCTCCCGGGGAGGCAGCCGGGTGCTGTTGGGGCCGCGGTTTGGAAAATCAGGCCGGCGGATGTCAGGGGCGTCGCGCAGCCGTCTCTCCTGCGGGGGCGGCACCATCCGCGGGGCCTGCTTGACCTGCGCCTGCGCCGCTGCCGCGGGAACAGCCGCTCCCTGCATCGGCACGGCGGCCAGGGCCTGAAGGCAGTCCGCCTGCGCCTGAGGGGCTCCGCTGCCGTCCAGGGCCTCCAGCGCTTCCAGGCAGCACGCCTTGGCCGCCGAAGCCTCGGCAACAGCGTCCGGCGTCTCGGCCGGCTCCACGATGAGCTCGAGTGACCTCCAGGGCGCGGAGCAAGAGGGAGCAGGGTGGCCACATCTGAGCGCGCAAGCAGCCACAATCGCATCGGGGGGGCTTGGTGAGCCCGCACCAACAGTCACTCCTGCGAAGGGTCACTCTCACGTGCAGTCGAAGGTCGGGGTCGGGGTGAGTTCCAGGCTGAAAAGTGTCGAGGGGGGGGCCCTGACGGGGTCCGGAGTGGTGGGGGGGCCGTGGCCAACTGGTCAGGCGGTGGCGAGGTGGTGGCCAGGCGGGGGGCCAGGGTGGGCCCCGCGCCGACAGTGGTCGGGTGGGGGGGCCCTAAGAAGCGGGGCTGAAGGGATGGGGGCGTCGTGGCCACGTGGTGGGTGGCCAGACAAGGGCTCGCGGGGTGACCTCGCCAGCCCCGACGACCCCACCGCAGGATCCGTCAGCATCGAATCGGGAACTCGGATCGGATCGGCACGTGAGTCGGCTCGGGCCGCGTCGGCGCGGGGCCGGCATCGAACTGGATGGACTGCGCCAGGATGCCCAACAGCGTCATGCAAACATCCCGCCGCATCGAATCGAATCGGATCGGCCAGAATCCATATATGGAGTCGGATCGATCGGATCGACGACGGTCCCGCCTCACCGCGCGGCCCGGCGCCGCAGCACCGCGGGACCCCGGAGGCCCCAGTCGCCCTCGACAGCCGCGGAGAACGAACGCGGTGGTCACCACACCGCTTGGGGGCCCCCGAAGAGCACCCGCGTCGTACGCGGCTGCCCCGGATCCCGGCAGCACGACGGGGGCGGCAGCCTCTCGAGCCTCGAGCGTCGAAAGGTTGACGATCGAGGTTGACCCTTTTTGAGCCTCCCGGGGGATCCTCGTCGCCACCGGCTGGATCCGCCTTGCAATTCTGGCGAGAACGCACTCCAAATCTGGGGATTGATTCTTGACCCCGAAAACTTGCCATCCCTGCGTCGTGGAAAAATAGTGGCGGAAGGTTTCCAGAGGTGTGCGGGCCCGGGGGCCCGACTTATGGCCAGAAAGCCAGAAGCCCTCACAGAATCACGACGGATTTGTTGGACAATTTGGTCGTTCTCGATGCCCCGTGCCGTCAAAACACGACTCAGCATGAAAAGCGGGTCCCAGGGAAAGGGTCCAGAACTCCTGGGAGCCACGTTGTGACAAAAAAGCGGATGTCCGGGGATGCAGCATGTTCGTGTCGTGACGACCTGCGCGTTGGCTTCTGACACCGCACATGGGTCGTCCAGTCCCGAACGATCGCGGCTGTCTGGCAGCGCAGATCGCCCGATGTCCGCCGACACTTGGCCACTGGCGGCGTTCAGCCTCGAATGCCCGCGCTCAGCCACCGCCTCGACACGACGAGAGCCTGGCGCACTCTCCCTGACATCCGCCAGTGTGATTTGTTCGTCACTCGACCCCAAGGCTCTCGACCGCTTCCCTGGGGGGTGTTCTTCGTCCCGGATCCGTTGTTCATGGTCCAGGCGCCCGAAAATGCCTCCGACGGCTGAAATCAAGGAAATTCTCGCTGGGACTGAACAGAATCATACCGTCGGAGATCCATGTCATCACGACCACCACCATCATCCGATCTGCCTCATCACTGCCCCCCCACCTGGCGGCAGCCACCGACGACGCCACACCGCTGCCCTCGGGCCACCTCTTGTTCGGCCCGATCCGCCCCCCAGCCCGCCCCAAGGAGGCCGAGATCGAGGCCAAACGGCCCCAGGAGATTTGTGCCGAAATCGAAATCGAAAGCCGAAATCGAAACCCAAATCGAAATCTGTGCCGAACGAGGCCGACATCGAAATCGAGAGAGGCCTCGGAGACCTGTGCGCCCGCCGCCCAGGGCGGCGGGCAGGCCTCCGCGCCCCCCGCCGCACCCCGAGAGGGGCCCCCGGAGGACGACACGGGGAGGGGGCGGGGCACGGCCGCGAGGCGGTGGGCACGGACCTCGTCGTCGTCGTTGTCGTCGTCGTCGCCGCCGCCGTCGTCGTCGCCGCCCTCGTCGTCGGCCTCGTCGTCGCCGCCCTCGCCGCCGTCGCCGCCGTCGCCCTCGTCGCCGCCCCCAAGCGGCGGGCGCACCTGCCCTCGTCCAGCTCCCACCGCTCGTCGTAGCTGCCGCCGGGCGCCCGCTGGGCGGCCTCTCGCGGGCGGGGGGGACCCCCCGAGGCCCCGGCGCTGCCGCCGAGCACGCGGCCGCCGGCACAGCCCGCGTGGCGCCGCGTTCGACGACTGCGCCAAGCGTGAGGGGGAGGAGGATGCTCACGCCAGGCCCACCTGCCCGGCTTCGGGCCCCGGGGGGCCATGGCAGACCGATCGGGCTCGCAGAGTGCCGCGGGCGGATGGGGTCTGGGGCTCGAGGCATTTTCTCGCGAGGCCGGATAGGGAGTCAGGTGCTCGTTCTAGGGGCCGTCCCTGGAGCCACTCGCTCCCGCTCATGTGTCGATGCTGTGTCGAGCGTGCGGCGACTTGAGCCGAGATGGGGTCGAACCAGAGTCGAACTGGAGTCGACCAGATCCGTCACGTGGGCCCCGGGAAGGGCCCCAAGACGAGCAGCCGGGGGCACGTCGGGATCTCTCTCTCTCTCTCTCTTTTTCTCTCGCTCTCTCTCTCTCTCTCTCTCTCTCTCTTCAGGCGCACGGGGGGCCCCCTCTGCAGAGGGAAGAGAGACGGCAGCAGACGGACAGCTCACGGTCCGTAGACGCCTCGGGCTCGACCCCGAGGACGCCGGGGCGGCTCCGCGAGGACGCGCCCCGCACGGGGCGCATCCACAATACCGCGCGCATCCACGGCATCGCGCCTGGGTCCCAAACCACCACGGCACGGGTGCGGAAAGAGTGAGACGGGGAGAGAGAGAGAGAGAGAGAGAGAGAGAGAGACAGAGAAATAAAACTGTGTGCACTTACATACATACATACATACATACATACATACATACATACATACATACATACATGCATGCATGCATGCATGCATGCATACATACATACATACAGACAGACAGACAGACAGACAGACAGACAGACAGACAGACAGACATACATTGGTGCATACTTTACATATGAAAATGCATGTATACATTCAGACATACATATGTATAATTGTACGTATATGTATGTGTATATATACATATATATATATTATCATAAATATACATATATATATACATATATGTATTTGTATGCATATATGCATGCATATATATATGCCACCGTGCAGTGAGGCGCAAAGTGAAGTTATCTCCAGGTCCTCACGTGTCCTCTGTTCTCTGTTTTCAGGACTCTGGGATTATAGTAGTATTGTGGCTGGGGCGGGAACGCCGCGCGCTCTTGGACTGCCCCGTATGACTTTTCCTGAAGCCACAAGGCCCCAAGACGGGCCACGAGGGTCCCAGAAAGCGCCCAAGACGGTCCAAGAAGCCTCCAAGACAGCCCAAGAGCGCTCCAAGACGCCCAAAATGGCCCCAAGACGGCCCAAGAGGCCCCAAAGAAACCCCAAGAGCGCTCCAAGAGTACCCCTAAGAGGGCCCAGAGAGGCAAGAATCATTGATTCGCGTTCACGCAATCTTCGAGCTTCCGACGCTCCAAGATGGCCCCAGAGGCCCCCAAGACCGCCCCAAACACGGTCCAAGAGGCCCCCAAGAGGGCCCCAGGAAGGTCAAAGAGAGCCCCGGGACAGTCAAGTCGGCAATCCACATACGCACAGTAACCGAGGCACACGGACGATGGGACGTCTGGGCAAGTGAGTGAGAGAGCGGACGAGAGAGCGAGCGAGAGAGGGGGGGGGGACAAGAGATGGTGGGTGAGGTGAAAGCTCGAAGGGGGGCCGCGGGCAGCTGGAGACACATCGAGCGCAGACAAGAAGGAGCCCGAGCCTGCTTGACCTCCGCCTGCGCCGCTGCCGCGGGGGCACCCGCTCCCTGGAGCGGCACGGCGGCCAGGGCCTGAAGGCAGTCCGCCTGCGCCTGAGGGTCTCCGCTGCCGTCCAGGGACTCCAGCGCTTCCAGGCAGCACGCCTTGGCCGCCGCAGCGTCGCCATCTGCACCAGCGTCTGGCGTCCCGGGAGGCACTGCGACCTGAGAGAGCAACAAGCCAGGACACATACAGGGGGGGAAGCGACAAGCGCAGCACTCGTCGAGCGTAATTAGTCACGCCAGCAACTCGCAACCGCACGCAAGCCGATGTACACCAACATGGGGACTTGAAAGGGCGTGGCGAGCGATCTGTCGAGAGGATGAGCGAGAGAGTGAGCGAGAGGGCGGGCGAGAGCGCAGAGGAAAGAAAACGCAGTGAAGATCCACAGGAAAGAGCCCGAACCTGCTCGACCTCCGCCTGCGCCGCTGCCGCGGAGGACCCCGCCCCCTCGCGCGGCACGGCGGCCAGGGCCTGAAGGCAGTCCGCCTGCGCCTGAGAGGCTGCGGTGTCGTCCAGGGCCTCCAGCGCTTCTAGGCAGCACGCCCTGGCCGCCGAAGCCTCGGCAACAGAGTCCAGCGTCTCGGCCGGCAGCACGACCTGTGAGGGAGCCAAGCTGGTTTCAGTTCAGTGCCACAGGGGGCCAGCAAACACGCAGCACTCATCGAACACACGCACGTCGGCAATCCAGAAACGCACAGAAACCGAGTCACACGGACGAGGAGACGTCCAGGCAAGTGAGCGAGAGAGCGGACGAGAGAGCGAGCGAGAGAGGGGTGGAAATAAGAGGGTGGGTGAAAAGAGAGGGAAACCCAATCAGAGAGAAAGAGAGAAAGAGGGAGAGAGGGAGAGAGAGAGAGAGAGAGAGAAAGAGTGAGCGAGAGAAGGCGGTTCTACCCATACTTCTTGGAAAGGGACAGCTCAGTAGAGCCCTCCTGACTCATTGAGGCGCTGCGCTGGCACGGTGGTGAAAAACTCGCCGCTGCGCCACGGTGGTGAAAAACTCGCCGCTGGCAGCTGGAGACTCACTGAGTGCAGGCAAGGCAAGAAGGAGCCCGAGCCTGCTTGACCTCCGCCTGCGCCGCTGCCTCGGGAACACCCGCTCCCTGCATCGGCACGGCGGCCAGGGCCTGAAGGCAGTCCGCCTGCGCCTGAGGGGCTCCGCTGCCGTCCAGGGCCTCCAGCGCTTCCAGGCAGCACGCCTTGGCCGCCGAAGCCTCGGCAACAGCGTCCGGCGTCTCGGCTGGCACCACGACCTGTGAGGGAGCCAAGCTAGTTCCACAGGGGGCCAGCACACGTGCAGCACTCATAGAGCACACGCACGTCGGCAATCCACAAACGCACAGAAGCCGCGGCACACGGACAAGGGGACTTTCACGGACTGGGCCAGTGAACGAGAGGGCAAGAGAGACAGCGAGCAGGTTTCAGTGTAGTGCCACAGGGGGCCAGCACACGTGCAGCATTCATCGAGCACACGCACGTCAGCAATCCACATACGCAAAGTAACCGAGGCACACAGACGATGGGACGTCTGGGCAAGTGCGCGAGAGAGCGGACGAGAGAGCGAGCGAGAGAGGGGGGGGGGACAAGAGATGGTGGGTGAGGTGAAAGCTCGAAGGGGGGCCGCGGGCAGCTGGAGACACATCGAGCGCAGACAAGAAGGAGCCCGAGCCTGCTTGATCTCCGCCTGCGCCGCTGCTGCGGGGGCACCCGCTCCCTGGAGCGGCACGGCGGCCAGGGCCTGAAGGCAGTCCGCCTGCGCCTGAGGGTCTCCGCTGCCGTCCAGGGACTCCAGCGCTTCCAGGCAGCACGCCTTGGCCGCCGCAGCGTCGCCATCTGCACCAGCGTCTGGCGTCCCGGGAGGCACTGCGACCTGAGAGAGCAACAAGCCAGGACCCATGCAGAGGGGGAAGCGACAAGCGCAGCACTCGTCGAGCGTAATTAGTCACGCCAGCAACTCGCAACCGCATGCAAGCCGATGTACAACAACATGGGGACTTGAAAGGGCGTGGCGAGCGATCTGGCGAGAGGATGAGCGAGAGAGTGAGCGAGTGGGCGGGCGAGAGCGCAGAGGAAAGAAAACGCAGTGAAGATCCACAGGAAAGAGCCCGAACCTGCTCGACCTCCGCCTGCGCCGCTGCCGCGGAGGACCCCGCCCCCTCGCGCGGCACGGCGGCCAGGGCCTGAAGGCAGTCCGCCTGCGCCTGGGAGGCTGCGTTGTCGTCCAGGGCCTCCAGCGCTTCTAGGCAGCACGCCCTGGCCGCCGAAGCCTCGGCAACAGAGTCCAGCGTCTCGGCCGGCAGCACGACCTGTGAGGGAGCCAAGCTGGTTTCAATTCAGTGCCACAGGGGGCCAGCAAGCACGCAGCACTCATCGAGCACACGCACGTCGGCAATCCACAAACGCACAGAAACCGAGTCACACGGACGAGGAGACGTCCGGGCAAGTGAGCGAGAGAGCGGACGAGAAGAGAGCGAGCGAGAGAGGGGTGGAAATGAGAGGTTGGGTGAAAAGAGAGGGAAACCCAATCAGAGAGAGAGAGAGAGAAAGAGGGAGAGAGAGAGAGAGCGAGAGAAGGCGGTTCTACCCATACCTCTTGGGAAGGGACAGCTCAGTAGAGCCCTCCTGACTCATTGAGGCGCTGCGCTGGCACGGTGGTGAAAAACTCGCCGCTGGGCAGCTGGAGACTCACTGAGTGCAGGCGAGGCAAGAAGGAGCCCGAGCCTGCTTGACCTCCGCCTGCGCCGCTGCCTCGGGAACACCCGCTCCCTGCATCGGCACGGCGGCCAGGGCCTGAAGGCAGTCCGCCTGCGCCTGAGGGTCTCCGCTGCCGTCCAGGGCCTCCAGCGCTTCCAAGCAGCACGCCTTGGCCGCCGAAGCCTCGGCAACAGCGTCCGGCGTCTCGGCTGGCACCACGACCTGTGAGGGACCCAAGCTGGTTCCAGTGCAGTGCCACAGGGGGCCAGCACACGTGCAGCACTCGTCGATCACACACACACACACACACACACACACACACGTCGGCAATTCACAAACGCACAGAAGCCGAGGCACACGGACAGGGGGACGTTCACGCACTTGGCAAGTGAGCAAGAGGGCAAGAGAGACAGCGAGCAGGTTTCAGTGTAGTGCCACAGGGGGCCAGCACAGGTGCAGCACTCATCGAGCACACGCACGTCGGCAATCCACATACGCAAAGTAACCGAGGCACACGGACGATGGGACGTCTGGGCAAGTGAGCGAGAGAGCGGACGAGAGAGCGAGCGAGAGAGGGAGGGGACAAGAGATGGTGGGTGAGGTGAAAGTTCGAAGGGGGGCCGCGGGCAGCTGGAGACACATCGAGCGCAGACAAGAAGGAGCCAGAGCCTGCTTGACCTCCGCCTGCGCCGCTGCCGCGGGGGCACCCGCTCCCTGGAGCGGCACGGCGGCCAGGGCCTGAAGGCAGTCCGCCTGCGCCTGAGGGTCTCCGCTGCCGCCCAGGGACTCCAGCGCTTCCAGGCAGCACGCCTTGGCCGCCGCAGCGTCGCCATCTGCACCAGCGTCTGGCGTCCCGGGAGGCACTGCGACCTGAGAGAGCAACAAGCCAGGACCCATGCAGAGGGGGAAGCGACAAGCGCAGCACTCGTCGAGCGTAATTAGTCACGCCAGCAACTCGCAACCGCACGCAAGCCGATGTACACCAACATGGGGACTTGAAAGGGCGTGGCGAGCGATCTGGCGAGAGGATGAGCGAGAGAGTGAGCGAGAGGGCGGGCGAGAGCGCAGAGGAAAGAAAACGCAGTGAAGATCCACAGGAAAGAGCCCGAACCTGCTCGACCTCCGCCTGCGCCGCTGCCGCGGAGGACCCCGCCCCCTCGCGCGGCACGGCGGCCAGGGCCTGAAGGCAGTCCGCCTGCGCCTGGGAGGCTGCGGTGTCTTCCAGGGCCTCCAGCGCTTCTAGGCAGCACGCCCTGGCCGCCGAAGCCTCGGCAACAGAGTCCAGCGTCTCGGCCGGCAGCACGACCTGTGAGGGAGCCAAGCTGGTTTCAATTCAGTGCCACAGGGGGCCAGCAAGCACGCAGCACTCATCGAGCACACGCACGTCGGCAATCCACAAACGCACAGAAACCGAGTCACACGGACGAGGAGACGTTCGGGCAAGTGAGCGAGAGAGCGGACGAGAGAGCGAGCGAGAGAGGGGTGGAAACGAGAGGGTGGGTGAAAAGAGAGGGAAACCCAATCAGAGAGAAAGAGAGAAAGAGGGAGAGAGGGAGAGAGAGAGAGAGAGAGAGAGAGCGAGAGAAGGCGGTTCTACCAATACCTGATGGGAAGGGACAGCTCAGTAGAGCCCTCCTGACTAAAAGGGAGAAGGCGGTTCTACCCATACTTCTTGGGAAGGGACAGCTCAGTAGAGCCCTCCTGACTCATTGAGGCGCTGCGCTGGCACGGTGGTGAAAAACTCGCCGCTGGGCAGCTGGAGACTCACTGAGTGCAGGCGAGGCAAGAAGGAGCCCGAGCCTGCTTGACCTCCGCCTGCGCCGCTGCCTCGGGAACACCCGCTCCCTGCATCGGCACGGCGGCCAGGGCCTGAAGGCAGTCCGCCTGCGCCTGAGGGGCTCCGCTGCCGTCCAGGGCCTCCAGCGCTTCCAGGCAGCACGCCTTGGCCGCCGAAGCCTCGGCAACAGCGTCCGGCGTCTCGGCAGGCACCACGACCTGTGAGGGACCCAAGCTGGTTCCAGTGCAGTGCCACAGGGGGCCAGCACACGTGCAGCACTCGTCGATCACACACACACACACACACACACACACACACGTCGGCAATTCACAAACGCACAGAAGCCGAGGCACACGGACAGGGGGACGTTCACGGACTGGGCCAGTGAACGAGAGGGCAAGAGAGACAGCGAGCAGGTTTCAGTGTAGTGCCACAGGGGGCCAGCACAGGTGCAGCACTCATCGAGCACACGCACGTCGGCAATCCACATACGCAAAGTAACCGAGGCACACGGACGATGGGACGTCTGGGCAAGTGAGCGAGAGAGCGGACGAGAGAGCGAGCGAGAGAGGGGGGGGGGGACAAGAGATGGTGGGTGAGGTGAAAGCTCGAAGGGGGGCCGCGGGCAGCTGGAGACACATCGAGCGCAGACAAGAAGGAGCCCGAGCCTGCTTGACCTCCGCCTGCGCCGCTGCCGCGGGGGCACCCGCTCCCTGGAGCGGCACGGCGGCCAGGGCCTGAAGGCAGTCCGCCTGCGCCTGAGGGTCTCCGCTGCCGCCCAGGGACTCCAGCGCTTCCAGGCAGCACGCCTTGGCCGCCGCAGCGTCGCCATCTGCACCAGCGTCTGGCGTCCCGGGAGGCACTGCGACCTGAGAGAGCAACAAGCCAGGACCCATGCAGAGGGGGAAGCGACAAGCGCAGCACTCGTCGAGCGTAATTAGTCACGCCAGCAACTCGCAACCGCACGCAAGCCGATGTACACCAACATGGGGACTTGAAAGGGCGTGGCGAGCGATCTGGCGAGAGGATGAGCGAGAGAGTGAGCGAGAGGGCGGGCGAGAGCGCAGAGGAAAGAAAACGCAGTGAAGATCCACAGGAAAGAGCCCGAACCTGCTCGACCTCCGCCTGCGCCGCTGCCGCGGAGGACCCCGCCCCCTCGCGCGGCACGGCGGCCAGGGCCTGAAGGCAGTCCGCCTGCGCCTGGGAGGCTGCGGTGTCTTCCAGGGCCTCCAGCGCTTCTAGGCAACACGCCCTGGCCGCCGAAGCTTCGGCAACAGAGTCCAGCGTCTCGGCCGGCAGCACGACCTGTGAGGGAGCCAAGCTGGTTTCAGTTCAGTGCCACAGGGGGCCAGCAAGCACGCAGCACTCATCGAGCACACGCACGTCGGCAATCCACAAACGCACAGAAACCGAGTCACACGGACGAGGAGACGTTCGGGCAAGTGAGCGAGAGAGCGGACGAGAGAGCGAGCGAGAGAGGGGTGGAAACGAGAGGGTGGGTGAAAAGAGAGGGAAACCCAATCAGAGAGAAAGAGAGAAAGAGGGAGAGAGGGAGAGAGAGAGAGAGAGAGAGCGAGAGAAGGCGGTTCTACCAATACCTGATGGGAAGGGACAGCTCAGTAGAGCCCTCCTGACTAAAAGGGAGAAGGCGGTTCTACCCATACTTCTTGGGAAGGGACAGCTCAGTAGAGCCCTCCTGACTCATTGAGGCGCTGCGCTGGCACGGTGGTGAAAAACTCGCCGCTGGCAGCTGGAGACTCACTGAGTAAAGGCAAAGCAAGAAGGATCCCGAGCCTGCTTGACCTCCGCCTGCGCCGCTGCCTCAGGAACAGCCGCTCCCTGCATCGGCACGGCGGCCAGGGCCTGAAGGCAGTCCGCCTGCGCCTGAGGGTCTCCGCTGCCGTCCAGGGCCTCCAGCGCTTCCAGGCAGCACGCCTTGGCCGCCGAAGCCTCGGCAACAGCGTCCGGCGTCTCGGCTGGCACCACGACCTGTGAGGGACCCAAGCTGGTTCCACAGGGGGCCAGCAAACGTGCAGCACTCATCGAGCACACGCACGTCGGCAATCCACAAACGCACAGAAGCCGCGGCACACGGACAAGGGGACTTTCACGCACTGGGCCAGTGAGCGAGAGGGCAAGAGAGATAGCGAGCAGGTTTCAGTTCAGTGCCACAGGGGGCCAGCACACGTGCAGCATTCATCGAACACACGCACGTCGGCAATCCACATACGCACAGACACCGAGGCACACGGACGATGGGACGTCTGGGCAAGTGAGCGAGAGAGCGGAAGAGAGAGCGAGCGAGAGAGGGGGGGGGACAAGAGACGGTGGGTGAGGTGAAAGCTCAAAGGGGGGCCGCGGGCAGCTGGAGACACATCGAGCGCAGACAAGGAGGAGCCCGAGCCTGCTCGACCTCCGCCTGCGCCGCTGCCGCGGGGGCACCCGCTCCCTGGAGCGGCACGGCGGCCAGGGCCTGAAGGCAGTCCGCCTGCGCCTGAGGGGCTCCGCTGCCGTCCAGGGCCTCCAGCGCTTCCAGGCAGCACGCCTTGGCCGCCGCAGCGTCGCCATCTGCACCAGCGTCTGGCGTCCCGGGAGGCACTGCGACCTGAGAGAGCAACAAGCCAGGACCCATGCAGATCCCAGCAACAAGCGACAAGCGCAGCACTCGTCGAGCGTAATTAGTCACGCCAGCAACTCGCAACCGCACGGAAGCCGATGTACCACACCACGGGGGACTTGAAAGGGCGTGGCGAGCGATCTGGCGGGAGGAGGAGCGAGAGAGTGAGCGAGAGCTCGGGCGAGAGCGCAGAGGAAAGAAAACGCAGTGAAGATCCACAGGAAAGAGCCCGAGCCTGCTCGACCTCCGCCTGCGCCGCTGCGGCGGAGGACCCCGCCCCCTCGCGCGGCACGGCGGCCAGGGCCTGAAGGCAGTCCGTGAACGCAGCCTCCCAGTGGGAGGCTGCGTTGTCGTCCAGAGCCTCCAGCGCCTCCAGGCAGCACGCCCTGGCCGCCGCAGCGTCGCCCTCTGCCTGGTGGACACGAGCAGTCTGCTCCGTCCTCAGCTCCTTAGTGAGAGCAGCAACGGCGCAGGCCGCTCCCGCCGCCGCCGCATCGCTGCCCTGCGCGAGGCTCTCCGCCGCCAGCTCCTCTGCGTGCTCGGAGGCGGGCGGGGCTGGGGACCGAACTGCCGCCTCCTCACCGCTCGGCGCAATCTGCTCCGCCATCAGCTCCTCTGCGAGCTGGCAGGCCTGAGCTGGATAGAACCGCGAAACCGGATCGGATCGGAACTGGATCGAACCGCCAGCGAATCGTGCCGAGTCGAATCGAGATCGCGTCGCCGCGCCCGGCTCCCCCTGGCCCCGGCCCACGCTGCAGAAGCGAACCGCCATGGCTCGAATCGGAATCGCGGCCCTGGTTGCGCCCATCGCTGCCGCTCTGGTCCGTGGCGTGAGGGGGGATCGCCTCCTCGGGGGGCGGGGCCTTCCACGAAGGCTCCGAGTTGGGTTCGCTCAGCCCCAGGTGTGGAGACGTGGCCGAGCTTGTACTAGACATTGCCTCCTTGAATCGAGTCAGCATTAGACTTACCATCATGATCATCATCGTGTTCATCATGATCATCATCATCATCATCATCATCATCATCATCATCATCAGCAGCATCATCAGCATCAGCACCATCGTCATCATCAGCAGCAGAAGCGGCAGCAGCAGCAGCGGCAGCAGCAGCAGCATCATCAGCAGCAGCGCCATCCTCATCACCATTAGCATCATCACCGACGTCGGCATCATCATCAGCAGCATGGTCGCGATCATCATCATCATCATCATCATCATCATCCTCATCATCCTCATCCTCATGACCACCATCGTGGACATGAGCATGCTCATCATCATCATCATCATCATCATCATCATCAGCAGCAGCAGCAGCAGCATCATCAGCATCATCAGCATCATCATCATCATCAGCAGCAGCAGCATCATCATCAGCATCAGCATCAGCAGCATCAGCATGATCATCATCATCAGCATCATCACCATCACCATCATCATCATCATCATCATCATCATCAGCATCATCATCATCATCGTCATCATCATCAGCAGCATCATCAGCAGCACCACCACCACAATCCTCATCACCACAATCATCAGCATCATCAGCCTCACCATCGTCGGCAGCAGAATCATCGTCAGCAGCATGATACCCGTCTTCCCCATTCTGCTCCTCAACTGCCTACTCCTGCCGCTCGTCATCATCATCATCATCATCATCATCATCATCATCATCATCATCATCATCATCATCATCATCATCATCATCATTAACAGCAGCATCATCATCATCATCATCCTCATCATCATCATCATCACCGTCATCAACATCTCACCACAACCACCACCACCACCACCACCGTCATCACCATCCGCATAATCATCGTCATCAGCATCATCGGTTGCATCATCATCCTCAGCATGATCATCATTATCATTCTCATCATCAGCATCAGCATCATCATAATCAGAATCATCAGCATCACCAGCATCAGCATCGTCGTCATCACAATCATCGTCAACATCAGAATCGTCATCATCCAACTACGAAGCGTCATCATCGGCAGCAGCAGCATCATCATCATCATCAATGTCATCATCAGAATCTTCATCATCCTCCTCCTCGTCATCATCATGATCAGCAGCATCAGTATGTCAAGCATCATCATCATCAGCAGCATCATCAGCATCAGCATCCTCATCAGAATCACCGCCATCATCACCATCAGCATCATCAGCTTAACCAGCAACTTCATAATCACCATCAGCATCGTCGTCAGCATCATGGTCATTTATCGTATCACCATCATCGTCACCAGCATCAGCATGTTCATCATCATCAGCCGTCGCATCATCAGTCGCATCAGCATCATCATCATCATCATCGTCGTCATCATCATCATCGTCATCACCAGCACCGACATCAACATCACCATCATCCTCGTCATCCGCACCAGCATCATAATCATCATCATCATCAGCAGCATCATCATCATCATCCTCCCCCTCCTCCTCCTCCTCCTCCTCCTCCTCCTCCTCCTCCTCCTCATCCTCATCATCATCATCATCATCATCATCATCATCATCATCATCATCATCATCATCATCATCGTCATCACCATCATCATCGTCAGCATCGTCATCATGAGCATCAACATCACCATCATCATCGTCGGCGTAGTTGTCTTCATTGTCGTCAACATCATCACCATTACTCTCTTAGTAACCATCGACCAATTCTAACTACTCACCACTCATCCGCAGCATACCCATAACAAAGCCATCACCATCACCATCGTCATAACAATACTCATATCTCATGTCACTGCCAGCATTGTGATCATCATCACAATCATCACCATAATCGTAATCAGCATCAGCAGCACAATCATCGTCATCGGAATCATCATCATCAGCATCATCGCCATCATCATCAGCATCATGGACATCATAATCATCATCATCAGCAGCACCATCATCATCATCACCATCACCATCATCACCATCACCATCACCATCACCATCACCATCATCATCATCATCATCATCATCATCATCATCATCACCATCAGCATCCGCATCAGCATCAGCAGCATCATCACCATCGGCACCACCATGCATAGTCATCATCATCATCAAGAGCAACAACAGGCATGGGCATGCTCATCATCATTGCCCGTGTGAGCGTACTCGTCCCCATGTCTGGTCTCCTCATCTCCCCTGCCCTCCTTCACCCAGCACCTTCCCCATTCTCCATCCCTCTTCTGTCTAAACAGCACCCCCTGCTCGCATCATCAGACGTGTCCGTAGGGCAATCCGGGTGTGTCGACGAACGCCCCCCCCAGCCAATTATGATAACGAAATTTGAAAAACAGTCCACAACGGCTACACGGAGCTCTGGCTTCTCCGAACCTCCTCGACCATGACGCCCACCGTGGGATGCACTTTGACCATCCAACCGTGGCGGCAACACGAGAAACGCAACCATGCATCGTACCATGTTTGATCTTCTTTCCGTTCCAGCGCGGCATACGGTGCACAGATCTCCGGCTCCGAGGGCCGAGAATATATGCCGCGCACCCCTCCCGGGTCGAGGCTCGACGACGCCTCGGGATGCGCCAACGCGGTGCGGTGCAGACTAGTCGTCCTCAGAGACAAGAGTAGGAGGCCTGGAAATGGGCACCAACACCAACACAGAGGGTCGCCTCCACAGGGGGAAGAAGATCCTAGATTTCGGTGTTGGTGGTAATATTTCGGTCACACTGGAAGCTAGAATACTACCACCATCACCGAGATCGGGATCTTCTTCCCTCAGTGGCGGCACGCCGCCGATATTGGTGTTGGTGCCAACCTCTAGGCCTGCGAAAGAGCCCTCCCCCCAGAGGATCAGAACGAGGGCGAAGGACGCCCAACGACTGGATCCTCGCGCTGCGACGCCTTGAGGGCGAGCACAGGCCGCCCTTCCTTGGCGCCCCATCCCGGCCAGACGCCAACGCGCTACGGTGCAGACGAATCGTCCTCAGAGACAAAAGCCCCCCCCCCAGAGAGGATCAGAAAGAGGGCGAAGGACGCCCAACGACTGGATCCTCGCGCTGCGACGCCCTGGAGGCGAGCACAGGCCGCCCCTCCTTGGCACCCCATTCCGGCCAGGCTCTCGAGCTGCATCCCGCCGCGGCGAAGAGGGCCCCCTGAAGCGCCCGGCAAGAAGGCTTTTTCTCCCATCCTTGCGGGAGGGGGCTCCTCCTCCTCCTCCTCCTCCTCCTGCTCCTCCTGCTCCTGCTCCTGCTCCTGCTCCTCCTCCTCCTCCTCCTCCTCCTCCTCCTGACGTCTCGCGGCGCGAAACAAAAGAAAACATATCCTGGCGAAGGGCCCAACCATATGCAGTTGTGGGTACAACAATTGTGAACATCTTCTTCGGTGAAACTCCCGATGGGGCCACGAGGCGCTGCACTGGGTGGGGGGGAACGCTGTTCTGGGTGAGTGGTGTGTCAAGTAAGGTTTACGGGACGCATGCGGACAGTCCCACTGGGGGCTTCGGTGGAGCTCCCTATGGGGCCACGAAGCGCTGTACTGGGTAAGTGAAAATGCCAAATTGGGCTTCCGGGACGCATGCGGACGGTCCCACTGGAGGCTTCGGTGGAACTCCCTGTGGGGCCACGAAACGCTGTACTGGGTTGGTGAAAATGCCAAATTGGGCTTCCGGGACGCATGCGGACGGTCCCACTGGGGGCTTCGGTGGAGCTCCCTATGGGGCCACGAAGCGCTGCACTGGGTGGGTAAAAATGCCAAATGGGCTTCCGGGACGCATGCGGACGGTCCCACGGGGGGCTTCGGTGGAGCTCCCTACGGGGCCACGAAATTCTGGAATGGGTGGGTGAAAATGCTAGAATGTGCGTTTCGGGACGCTTGCGAACGGTCCCACTGGGAATTCGGTGGAGCTCCCTGTGGGGCCACGAAACGCTGCACTGGGTGGGTGAAAATGCCACATTGGGTGTGCGGGACGCACGCGGACGGTGGCACTGGGGCCTTCGGTGGAGCTCCCTGTGGGGCTTCGAAACGCTGTAATGGGTGGGTGAAAATGCCAAATTGGGTGTTTCAGGACGCACTCGGACGGTCCCACTGGGGCCTTCGGTGGAGCTCCCTATGTGGCCACGAAACGCTGTACTGAGTGGGGGGGACGCATGTGGACGGTGGCACTGGGGCCTTCGGTGGAGCTCCCTATGCGGCCACGAAACGCTGTACTGAGTGGGGGCGACGCATGTGGACGGTGGCACTGGGGCCTTCGGTGGAGCTCCCTATGCGGCCACGAAGCGCTGTGCTGAGTGGGGGCGACGCATGTGGACGGTGGCACTGGGGGCTTCGGTGGGGCTCCCTATGGGGCCACGAAACGCTGTGCTGGGTGGGTGAAACGCTGTACTGGGTGGGAAGAGGGGGAGGGGGGAGGAGGGGAGGAGGGAGGAGGAGGAGAGAGGAGGAACGCGGGGACCGTCTCTTCCAAACGAAGACCCAACACCACAAGTTGGTTGGGAACAAAGAACACGACGGGAACGTCTTCGGGGAATCGGCCTCCGGCCTCCGGGTGCCCTCACCGGGCCCCAGAACCGTCCCCGGCGAGGGGCCCAGGCTGCTGTGGCAGGACGCCGAAAATGGTTGGACGCCGGTCCTCGGACCAGAATGAAGGGGCCCCAGGACACAAATAAATACACACAATTAAAAATATTCCCCATATTTTCCCACATTTTCTGGGTTTCTGTCTCCCCCCCCACTTCCCATATTTTCCCATGTTTTCAGAGGAATCGAGGATTAATTGTGTCTGTGTGATTTTTCCTCTCCTGAAATCTGTGCGCACAGAGGGCCCAGGGCGGGCCCGGTCTTGGAGCGGTACAGGTGTCCTCCCCCTCCTCCTCCTCCTCCTCCCTCCTCCTCCTCCTCCTCCTCCTCCTCCTCCTCCTCCTCCTCCTCCTCCTCCTCCTCCTCCCCCTCCCTTCTCCTCCTCCTCCTCCTCCTCCTGCTCCTCCTGCTCCTCCTCTCCTCCTCCTCCTCCTCCTCCTCCTCCTCTCCTCCTCCTCCTCCTCCTCCTCCTCCTCCTCCTCCTCCTCCTCCTCCTCCTCCTCCTCCTCCTCCTCCTCCTCCTCCTCCTCCTCCTCCTCCTCCCCTCCTCCTCCTTCCTCCTGCTCCTCCTCCGCCTCCTCCTCCGCCTCCTCCTCCTCCTCCTCGGACTCCTCCTCCTCCTGCTCCTCCTCCCTCCTCCTCCCTCCTCCTCCTCCTCCTCCTCCCTCCTCCTCCTCCTCCTCCTCCTCCTCCTCCTCCCCTCCTCCTCCTCCTCCGCCTCCTCC